AATAACCTCACATTTTCCCATAGTTCTTATTGCTCTTCATTTCTACTCTCCTACTCCTCAATAAGAAAATACTAATTTCTCCTGGTGTTTGGTGTGTTATCTTTAGGATGGAAATCCAAGCCCACTGCCTTAACAGGTGTAGGTTACAAGCAAAGCTTTGCTGATTTCTCCTTTTTCCAAAATTTCTCTCTATTCCTGCTACAAATGACTCTCCAGTGCTGTTGGACAGCAGGGACGACAGAGACACACAACCAGAGCTCAGAATAAAGCAAATGCCCTCCAACAAAACCAGCTGTTGACTTTTGCAGACTTTCCCCAGAAATAAAATGAAGATGTTACTGCCTTCTGAAAGGAATCACAGTTCCCTGCTGATATCTTATAACATTAGGAGGTATTGATTTACATACTGTATTTATTGAACAGGCTATTGCCAGTAAAAACGAACAAGATACGGTAAATTAGAGAGTTCATATAGAATATTTTGTTCCCCCAAGACAAAATACATAACAATGACATGAACTTTAGCTTCACTTCTTATCAGATTTTCTCTTTATCCCATAAACCAACTCTGGGAGAGAAATGTTTCCAGTAGCTGGAAATCCCATTTCCATCCCAGCTGGGCAAGCAATTCTTTAAACCATAGCTTTAAGAAATGTGACTCCACTTAAAATTTATATGCTCAAATATTTGATTTATGCCCACAGTAATGGTGATCACCTTGGCTTTGACCCTGGTAAACAATCAATGCCTCATTGAAGGATCCAGGCCTTTGTTTCTCCTGGATTTGTTTCTGCCTCCAGGTTTTTTTGCTTTGAAGGGTCCTCTCTGAATTTACCTGGAGGCCCAACATGTCAGCACATTAATGACTATATGTGTAAATCCTGCAATATAAAGGAAAGAGCCATCTATCTCCTGCACTCCCTGCATATAACGTGCAACACAAACTACAGAGATCTTTTCCTCTGTCAGAATTTTCAGCTGTATTTCAGTTGATCTGACTGCAGCTCATGCATATAAATAATTCTCTATCTGATTAATAATTATATTTTATACTTCCACAAGAAATCTGGGGGTTTATTTTCCCCCAGTAAAATTTTCTTTCATTTCCCTTTGCTAAATAGTCAGGATTCTGCCCTGAAACTTTGAACTCTGCCATTACTGCATGATTTTTTGATGTGACAGATGCAATTTGAAATCACCAGTATTTCAACAGGCTTGATATGTATATTAATGATTATTTAATTATATTAAGCCCATTTTACTGCAATTTACATCTCTACAAGACCAGACTTTTTTCCATGAAAGACTGAATGCCTTCTTTTTTTTTTTTTTTTTTTTTTTAGGATATTAGTAAGAGATGGCTGGGGCCTGACATTCCCCATCAGCTGGTTTCAGCTCAAAACAGAGCAGATCAGTTACACTCCAGAAAAGTCTGCCAGGGCAGATAACCAGGGTTAAAATACATTTTATACTGTTCTTGAAGTTAGAAGCAAACTGGTGATTTTTGAAGGAGCAGCATGTTCCTGTGTGCTGTCCATAGATCTCCACCCAGCATCAGCAGGGATTCAGTACCAGAGGATGATAATTCATTCTAAAAAGGATGTGGCTGCACTAAAATGGACTTACACAGATGACAAATTCCTTCTCCTGCACACGATAAATTACAGCCATTCACTTCCAGGGGTTTGCTATAGTAACTTCCCTTATCTGCAAAAATGCATTAAAGCACTCACAAATCTTTCCCACAAAATACTCCTCAGCACCTGACCAGGCCAGTTTTCCTCATCGTTGTGAAGTACTTCCATTGTTAGTTCCTTATTAAACAGGGAAATTGAGCCCATTAGGGCTGCAGCCTCCCCTCAATGTTTGACTCAGTCCCGTGTACCTGAAGTGAGGCAGTTCACAGCAGAGAGCTGCTGATGGGTCAAATCTTTACCCTCCTCTCAGCCTACTTGTTAGCCAACATATAGAAACAATTCTTCATAGAACTACACATTCCCAGTTTGCTTTTCAGTCCTGTTAACATAAGTTTTCTAAATATCTCAGTCTGTCACTACCAGTTGCAAGGCATCCTCTCACAGAAGTGTGATCTGCCATTATAAAAAAAGCTGAGTGCTGATTTCACACCTCTGCTTGTTAAGCATTTTTTTAAAGCAAATAAAGCTCTTTTACTTAAAAAATAATTAAAACTAACTCTTCATTAGCAGTTCAAATTGCCTAGGTAAATTTGGTCACAGCTCTAATTCGCACACAGTTTTATCAAGCTGCCTCATTTCATGCTTGCAGGGGATCACTTTCTGATTATTTCTCTTGCACACACATTTGTTGCCTTTCAGTGATGGCAACACTCTTTAAAAGCTTGAGTCCCAGTTGGAGCACCCCAGTGGCACTTTGCCACTGATGCTTTAGAGGCTGCAGGGCTGGATTTCACTGCTGCAGGGATTCCATGCAGTGGGAAGTGATGGGAAGCGAACTTCTGCAGCTGGAGGCTTTGTCCTGTACCCAAGGAATGGCCAACCCCAAATCTCATGCATAAATAATAAAAAAAATAATGGAATATTCTTGGCAATTCTTCTGGACCCACTTAACTTGGAGTAAAGAACACAACAGAGTTCTTGTAACTCAGAAACTTTTCATCGTCTTGGCGGTGGCAATCGACCTCTGCAACTTTTCCTGCTTTTTCCTGCATTCTGCCTACAAATACATTATCCAGGTAAATGTGAGGTTTTGAAAATGAGCCCAGAGGTTTTAAATAACAGATTACCCCATAATCACTGGTTTTCAGACTTCTATTTTCACTGGCCCTCTATCTGACCCTTTGTTTCCCAATTCATTGGGGTTTTATCAACACTGAGCACGAGTAGCCTTCCAGCCTCCCTGGAATCCTTCTGCTCTGTTATCACATCTCTTTACAGAAACACTTGATTTTTTTTATTTTTTTTTTTTTGCTCAAGGAAAGAACTAAAAAGTCACTAATATTTCTGCTCTGCTGGAATAAGAAAAGACTAAGGGTCTGAAGGGGACTCTGAATTGCATAAATTATGGGCAGGTTTTGCATGGTGTGCACACCTCACTGATCTGGGCTAGAAAACCCATCTGAAATCTCCCCACCAATCTCCACCTCTTTTTCCACATCTGCACTTTCCAATAGCAAATAAATAAACTATTTGCCATTGTCTGAAATTTCGGACTTAGTCTGATTTATTCAAATCTCAGGAGAAAACCAAAAATGCTTGAGAGCATACTTGTACAATGCAACACCTTTTGCTCCCACTAAACAGGGGCTCTGGGCTACCTCTTATCTCACCAGCCCAGAAGCAACTCCATAACGTGCCCAGAGCCTGCTTAACTCAACTCTTCAAAGAATCATTTAGCAGTTTTGTCAACAAGCTCCAGCCAGCCCCAAAGTAAAACCATTCCATGTAAATCCACGGGTGTACTCTGACCTGCAGAATTCCTATCAGGATGCTCCTTAATGAACTTCTTGAGAAGGAAAAACAGAGTTGTTACACAATTTTCTACCGGTGTTTCTCTTTGCTGGGCATAACTTCATCCCTGAATCCTCCTGCTCTTCTTTGCAAGCAGCTTTCACTTAAAACTGAAGCTGACTGACATTCCTTGGACTTTAAGAACACAAATCACAAAGTTTCATAAGAAATAAGCTCATAAATCAAGTGGATTAATAAGTTAACTTCAGAGGGTGAGGTTGGTGTCATTAACACGAGCTGCCTTACATTCCTCTTGCCAGTTTGAGTTCCTTTGCTAAAAATCAAATTTTAAACCCGTCTGTACATTCACATTGCTCTGGATTACCTGCTACATTGTGACATTTCTTGTGCATAACTTACATTCCTTCAAAAAGCCTCCTCTGGGGAAATGGGTTTGTCTTAATTTAAGTGTGTTTTTTGCCAGATCAGATACGAGGGCCATTTGTGGTGTGCTGCATTGAATTGGAAAGTCTACTATGATTTTCCAGGAGAAAAAATATTCAAGGTTTATACTCAACGCATTAAGGTGGAAAGCCACTGATAAAATAAGAAACAGCTGGCAAATGAAGACAAGGAACAGCGTTAAAAAGAGAAACTGCAATGTTTTTCTTGCAAGAAGGACGTCAGCAACTCCCATAAATCCTGTGCATGTGCTTAACACACATTTCACTGCAGACCCAGATACGAAGGAGATGTTCAAGTGTTGAAAACCAGCATATGGTAAATTTTAGCAGTGCTGTTTGAGCAGTAGGGCCCATCATCAAACTGGGAAACTCTCCCAGAGGAGGAAGGAAACAGCACTGGAGGTACAAGTGCTGATTATTACACTGCAGGAGATGAAACTGAGGGGTCAGGGATGGCAGCCAGAACTGTCCCCCACAGGGACCAGGACACCATGTGCTCCCTCTGCCAGAGGCTGGGACATAATCCCTGTGTGGGACACAAAAGGCAACATTCACCGAGCAATGTTTTGCAGGTTCCAGAGATCACGTGTTGTGTATTCAATGGAGAGAAACATTTCTATTGACAAGAAGAATCTTTAGTAAGACTTTTGTAGGTGATGTACATTTTATATGTAACATTTTCATACCACCAGTCTCTTCTTTATCTCTATTAAAGACACCCATTACTAAAAAGGGAGTTCAATAGTACTTTTCATTGACCATTTGACAATAAAAATGTATATTTCTGTAATACCATAGTGACAACTTCCCCAGAAACTCTTCCTTTGTCCAAACAACATTTCGCATTCAGAAATCAAATTCATACACAGTGTTCAGACAGCATTTCCACTGAAGATAAAAGACAGAAATTCCATGCAGAAAGAAGACAAGTTTCAACTGCGTGAAAAACAAACACATTTACCATTTCCAACGATTCTTGAAATTTCACAGGACAGTGGCAGCAATTGAATCTTCAATTTAAAGTGCAGATCTTTCAGGAGCAAATCCACGTTCAGAAAATGCATGCTATCAACACAGAGGCAGAGATGTTATCGCTCTGAGTACTCACCTCGTAATTGGCAATTGCTTCTCGATCAAGGCTTCGGGTCACGGAGACGTCCCCGTTCATTTCATTGATTCTAAAAATTCCTTTTGGGTCTTGATCTACTCCCTTTCCAGAGAGCCGGAATTTTACTCCGTCTGTCCCTTCACTTCTGATGACCTGCATGGCAGGAAACAAGTGATGGGCCACGTTGTAAAATCTTTTAAACTCATCCTAAAACCACATAAGTCATTTCAGTCTTTTAACTAATGCTGAGCTATGTTCCCTGCCAATAAAATGTAACCATAAAATATGATTTCAATCATTCACAAGACACACTGCAATTTTTGTGTTAAATCCTGGAAAAGCTACTCATGTTCTTGGCCGGTTCCTATCTTATCTTTAGTGTCTTCAATTTCACTACTTAAAGTTACTGTTATTCCATCACTGAATTCACTCTATGTCTAGAATTTGACATTTCATTTAATGCTGTTTCTTTTTTCACTTGAATTGATAGAACAGCTACAAACTTACAAGAAAAAAAGAATATTCTATTGATTGCCAAGAAGCACTCTCATTTCACAACAACCCTTACCACACCAGAGAGCCATCACACAATATTTTATTAGTCATTGTGAAGTCATTGCACACTACTTTCAGGTTGGGTTTTTTCCTCTCAATTCTCTTGAACTCTTCCTTTCCCAGGATTTTAAATCAAGGGAAAAATCTCTGCTTGAAAATATCAGAATATCCTGCTCAGAGTACTCCTGAGTCCCACAGCTGGAATTAGTTCACAAATTTCTATTTATGTATATACCCACACCCATGAGTGTAAGGCGACTCCTTGTTACTATCACCTTCTTTTCCCATGAGAACAAAATCCCCGAAAATCCGATTTCATGGCAGCCTCACATTAGCAACAGTAACATTTACCAACCTGCAGAGCCACACAATATCAGTTATAAACTACAAGCTTTGGAAATTTGTATTTGTACACCAGAATCTGAGGGATTATAAATTAATCTTGCCCTTTAAGGCTGACAATCCTGCCAAGCCATTTCTTCCCTCTGCTGTTCGGTGTTCTTTTGTTTCTAGCAATTTCATATCGCTGATTTCCGCAGAAACATTAACTCAAAAATTTATATTCTGGTCTGAATTACAGCTCAGGAAGAGGAAGGGAGAAAGTGGCCTTAGAAATTTGGACCTTCTCCAGTTTTCAGATAATAAATGTACAGGGTATTTAATAATGTCCCTGAGGAAATAAATGTTTGCTGCCCTATTGCTGTGGGTTGAGCAATGCTGGTTTGCAGATTACTGGGCAGTGAGATTTTGACTTAACCCTGTAATCATTATTCCTTTATTTTAATTGAGGAAAAAATTGCCATGAGATATGAAATAGGAAATCAGCATTTTCAGAGATAAAGTTTTGCTTTCCAAACCCTTTGGGGAAGGGAGACATTTCAAAGTAAAAACCAGTTTCACTTCTTTTTTTCTCCCTCCTTCCAACACTCAGAAACACTAATGGTTGAAGTTTCCTTCCTGCGTATTTTTGAGTAAATCATGCCAAAACACAGAGGCAGACAACACTGCAGGTGACAAAAGGGCAAAGTCACTTCTGGTTTGGTGATGAAACTCGGCCTTAATGTCTCCTACTGAAAAGTAACCTGCTGTTCAGGTCATTTTCTGACCAATTTCTGGTCTTTTTACATCAAGCCTAAAAATACAAGTTTTTCTTAACATAAAGCTGTGCCTGAGATTTTGCAGTGTCATGACCATTTCTCACATTTATAGGGGACAGATGAATTTATCCTGTTCTGCCCTGATGTCTGAGATTTATTATGAGGCACATTCCCATATAAGAGCAGCAGTTTGAAAGGCCTGAAATGAGCCCCAGGCCAGCACAAAAGTCTCACAAAACTCAGAGATGTTTACACTGCAGCCATTTGCACCAGAGCCACCAAACATTACCTGTTTATGACAAATTTAAGATGCAGTACAAACACAGTGCCTCAGTTGTAACAAAAAAAGAAAAACAAATATTGGGCTCTGAAGGGGAGACTTGTAAAAAAAAAATCCAGATATTCATATGGAAGTTTTTCTGCACACTAGATAGAAAAGCAAGAATGCAATAATAGTAATAGTAAGTAATAGTAATAGTAATAATAGTAGTAGTAGTAGTAGTAGTAGTAGTAGTAGTGGTAGTAGTATTAGTAGTAGTGGTCCCTGCAAACCCAAGTGGTGGGAAAATTTCTTCTCAACGTCAAATCTGGCAAAGATCTTCACCTTGAATTTGATGGTGAGACATCCCAATGCGGTGCCTGAAAGATCTGTGCTCCTTGGGGCTGAGACACCCCATATCTCATCTCAACTCCAGCTGCAAACCCTTCTGCAGCATCATTAATGTATGGCAGGAACAGAGTTACCAGAGAGCAGAGGTTTGAGTGACTGGAGGAGCTCACTCAGTTTTTAGAAGACTTCAGGGAGCCGTCACATTCCCACTGCAGCCCTTTGCAGCCCTTTTCCTGTTGTCAATTTACCTGTCCATGTCTGCAGGCACTGCCCAGCAGCTCCAGCCCGGGATTGTGACCCCGAGCCCGGCACTGCCCGGCAGTGTTTGCCCAGGAGCTGTGGGCAGCTCACAAAAAGTCATTTTCAGGAGGTTGGTTAAAAAGCTTAATTAGCCACAAGAGGGAGCCGCGAACTCCCCGGAATGTCAGGGAGAACATTAGCATCTCCTAATTAAGATGCTTATATAATGGCTGCATAGTTCAAAGAAAGTGCATTTCCCAGTTCACGCGGAGCCCAGTACAATGAAAAGTTTAATAAAAATCAGGCTTAATTTGCCATATGGTTTGGTGCTTCAGCAGGAGCAAGGAAGAAAACAGGAGGACTGTCTGTCATCTCCTGTGGCAAGGCTGAGGCTCGGAGCGCTGGCATAAACACAGCACTGTTCACAGGAAAATTTCCTAGCTCACAATGCATTTGCAGAACAATGTTTTCCCAATATCCTGGTGGAGATAAAACAAGGCCAGACTATTTCTACTGCAATGTTTACTTTGGGATTTCATTTTCACTTTTCTAAAATACATAAATGAGATCCCACAGTCAGTGCTACCTGAAGCCCAGGCAGAAACAGATATTTCCATAATTTTTTCGCAGCTTCAGGAACTTCAGTGCAGGTTCTAATACCGAAAATGTCTTCACCATATGGCAGTGGCTGTGTGTTGCACATAAAGGCTCTGCATTCTTTGGTTGTTAGTGCAGCACAGGACCCCACCACCCACCCACTGGGAATATGGATAAGACAGGAATACTTTATCCAGCATCCCAATTTCTACCTCTTTCATTCTCCCTTGCTCTGATCTCACAGGTCAGAGGGGATTTTCTGTGGGCAGATGGCTCAGGATAGACACCAGCTGAGCATCCCACGATAACATGGATGTTGGAGGCTGCTCACCCAGGACACAAGGACAGCACTGGACGGACACTCAGACGTCGCCCATCTCAAGGGTGCTTCAGAGAATAATTGGGAATTGAAGTGACCCATCCCACAGGCACAAGCAGCCACGACAGCCCAGCAAAAGGCTCTGTGATCCTGCTCAGCTGAAGGAAAGACACTTCCAAGCAAACAGAGCATCACGGAGCTGACAGGAGCTGCTTCCTGCTGAACCATGGCCTAAACGTATTTCCCCAGCGCAATTTTTCAGCTGACATTGTGTATCCCTCACAGCTAAACTCATTTCAGCAATGTGATCCCCCTGTTGTTACAGGTTTATCGCAAAAGTAAATCAGAGTGTTCTCAAGAGAAGAAGAGAAATAGAAGTACAAAAACTCCACGCTGCCCTGAGAGAGAATTCACAGTTCTGCAGCACCAGCAAATCTGTCCTAAACAGCTCCATCCCCAGTTACCAGTTTTATTCTTTAAGAAATGTTTGCCTCAACCACTCCCATAATTTCTTAGCTCTTGATGCCAGGTGAATTATAGATGCATCATAATAGTTTCGCTCACTTTTTAATTAAAAAACTAATCCCACCCCTAGAAAGGAATATTTGGTTCATGCCCCAGTTCTTTTCATTTCAGAACATTACAGTGTCTCCCTCGTGGTTTATTTTTTTTATTATTATTATTTTTTTGTAGGGTTGCTTGGTTCTGGTGTTTCCTGCTTCCCCTAGCCTCTTAGGAAGCAAATTTATTCATGGAATATTTAAAGGTGAACTATTTTTTTTCCTCAAATCACTGTGCTCCACAAGAGGTTTAGGCCCATTGTTTAGGTATTGTATAAATAAACAGATACTTCCTGTCCTGCCATACTGAAAATTACTCTTTACAGTCAGAGGCTCCATCTGCTCCATGCTGACTCAAATACTCTTTCAACCAAAACAAATGCAAAATATTCCCATCGTTATTCAAAAGCATTAACCAAAAGAAACTGCTTCATTACTGTAAGCTAAACATACAAAACCCGTGGCTAGAAAGGAAATTATATATTTGTTGAGTTAAATAATTTATTATGTAAAAATTAATACCTCTAGCTTCTTTAATGAAATACCAGATAAAGTGGCTGAGTATGGGAGCCAAATTGTTCTCTGTGATGGAGCAGATATTGGCCAAAGCTGACCTTGTCTTTCCCTCTGATCAGAACTCTCTCCTGATTCACTCCATGGGCAGGTGACAGCCAAGGAAATCCAGGGGATTCGTTCCCATAATGGCAACAGGAATTATAAAGCTACTCTGAGAGACTGTGTCCTTTATTGGTGATAACTGGGGATAAACTCAGCACGGGGAATTTTTCAGGCACCACTTTTTCCTGTTCACATAATGGACTACCAACTTCACCCTTTTATCAATCAGAACACATCTGGGCAGATTTCCTTTCAGATTTTTATCCAGAGCATCCAAAATTTAATGGAGACCAGATTGAATGATATTTGTGAAATTCGAGTAAACAGCAAAACAAAACTTCAGCAATCAGAGTTGTTTATGGAAAGCAACAACACAGGCAACACCACAGTCCTAAATTTCAAACCATTTCCAGGTCAGTTTTCAATCTCCAGTCTATGGAAGAGATAAGCTTTTCACAGCTGTGTCTATCTCCATGAGCTTTCCTACAAAGCTGAAACCAGCCAAAAAAATCATCCCCAAAATCCTGATATCTGTGCTTGCAACTGGAGAGGCCCTC